ACTTATAAAATGGTATCACTCTTTAAACAATGAAGAAGGTCCAGTATTAAACAAAAATAAATTATAAATATATTAATAATACAATATAATTAGAAAGAATTAAAATTATAATAACTCCCCAAAAAGAAAAGAAAAGAAGACAAGCGAATAGCGCTCTGCTGTATATTACGATAGGTGTAGAGTGAGTCGTTGTTAACTGTGTTAAATTTGAATTCAATAATTATAGCTATATTTACTATAATTAAAAACAATGAATGTCATTATTCAAAGTTTAAATATGTAATTTTGTACAAATTTAAACTTAAAATGTTCATAAAAAAAAAAATTGTGCTTATTTTTACATATATATTAGAACAACTAATGTTGGCTCTTGTATTACGTTTTCAAGTATATTTATTAAACGAATAATTTTTAATGACATTTATATGCATATGTTTATAAATAACTCAAAATAAAATCCTTTAAAAATATGTTTTTAATGTATATAAATTGATTAAATAAACGTTTGATTAACATTTGAAGTATCTATTGTAATTCATTTTTTTATTACAACAAAACATTAAAAATCGTTTGAGGATAAATAGTTATTTTAGGGGCGAATATGCAATGTCATAAAAATTTGAACTTCAAATGCTCGTCAAAAATCAATTTGACTTTCCTGTTACGTGTAAGATATTTTTAAATTGTATAAATATACCAAATATCAATATTTTATCACAAAATTTTTTCCGGTTTGTACCTTCAAACTTCCAAAGCATATTTATTATAAGAAGTGATTTTTTAAGTCTTATCTTAAGGTATAATTTTTAGATGCATTTGTTTGTAAATATTTTGATACATATATTGATATGTGTATATAGGATATCTGAATATATGTACCTACACGACAACATGATACATTATTGTTTTTTTTTTGAACGATTTTTTGTTTTCTTTCAATGTTTGTAGCACTAATAAAATAAATAATAATGATTGAATGCTACCTAAAAATAATTATAAAAACATAGATGCATTTGTCATTAATGTCATTGTTTGTTATGTTACATTTATAATATGTTTGGTTAAAATGGATTCATTTATTTTTGTGTTAAGAACAAAGCGAATAGCTGGTAAGTCAATACCTACACACATAAACATTATATAATATTTTCATTGAAAACAATCTAATGGATCTAAATGAAAGGTTATCTGTGGAAGAAAATAAAATTTCCTTTAAATTAAATTTTAATATAATATAATATTCCTATTTATTTGTTTTATTTATGTATACGTATATTCTGATAATACTCAGAAAGGTCACTTATTTGGCAGAAAATGAGTGGACTAATTGTATACAAAAATACTAAGTTGAATAAACAGTACAACAAATGTCACTTGGAAATTAAAGTAAAATATGTAAAATAGTTATTATAACAATTACATGAGCTTACATTAGTATTACAAATTAAAACTATGAAACTTATAATAATAAATAAAGGACTAAAATATATTTATTAGTCGATTACTCAGAACTTGAGAGTATAATATTACATCAAAATTATAATAATAATTATTGTAATATATTTTGCATAGTAGTACATCAGTAATGACAAGTATAGTTTTTATTTTATTTCAATATTGTGTAGAAATATAGCTAGTGTTAATTACTTTATTACAACTTTATGTCTCTATAGCTTTGTTTTAATTTTATTGTTTTTTATAATATAGTTATAGTACATTGTTTTACATTTAATTAAACTTAAAAGAAAATAACTACAAATAAATTTTAGATTCTAAGTAGAGTGATAAGTGCATTGATTTTACAGTGATTATGTTTTTTTATTTTTGTCTGTCGTTACCTTTTGGAGCAGTAAAAATACTTCGATTTTCAACTTTGAAAGTGTTTTTTAATATTAATTGAATCTAGTTAATAATTTTTTTAAAGGAGGGGAGGGATCCTTAGTTCTTTTTCAAAATAATCAGTAAAAATTAAGTAAACGCGAGCATTTTAATCAAAATTTGTTATTTTGTTGTAATTCTAAAATGAATAGTTGTAGATACTTGAAATTTTCACCGATTCTTTATATTAGATTGTTTTTATATAGTATAATTTTTAAAGTATTTTAACTAATTTTTAAACTATAAATAGACATTTGATATATTCAACTAATTTTAGTTATTTTTTCAATAAATATCAATAAAATATTTCTTCCTTTGTAAAAATCATTGAAAATTGAATACAAGGATTTTTATAAGCTGTTTATACACTAATTAAAAAATATCAAAAATAATTAGTCACAATATTTTTTTATATGCCTTTAAGGTGTAAATTATTTCGTAGTAAAAAACTCGTTGTATTTAATATTCATACCTAAACTATGAAAATTTATACAAGGTTCCACATAGATAGTTTATTCTGAAACTAAAAAAAATATAAGTACAATTTTTTTTTATTAACTTGAAATTTAAATTAGTATGAAATAAGATATTTAAATGAAAAATAACGATTTTAGTGATTTTGTTCTAATTTAAAAATATTTAAATTTTAAATTAAAACTATATAAAACTTATATTAATATATTTTATACATGCAATTTTAAAATTCAATGTTTTCTATACTAAATAATTTGATTCTAATAAAACATATAGGTAGTACATATAATAACATAAATTTTTTTAACATAAATATAAATATATCATAAAATATACTTAGAAATATAGCTTATAGGCTAGTAGTCTTCACTCAGAAATGTTTTTCGTAATTAATGATTTATCGTTGAATTCAAATTTAATACACATATTATAATGGCTTATCTTTAATGACGGGCACAGTACACAGTATACTCGAAACCTACAACCTACTGTACTTTAAGCGGTTAACTACTTTCCTTCTTTTTAAACTCAAATTTTAGAAAATATATTAAAAATGAAAATTTTACAAAAGTAATGAATTATAACCAATATTTATAAGTTATAACAATATGATCTTCGAATAAAAAATTTTGTATAGGTTCATTGATACATTGTGTAAGTTGTGTATTACTTTTAATAACACACAGTAGATACTAGGCACTTAAACATTTGTTAATCATACACATATAATAAAATATCTAAAATCTTATTTTCGAATATTATTCTTATTATTAAATGCGTATACGGTAAACTCTCAATTATCCATGGAATTATAGGTAGTATGACAACTGCAGATAATTTGAAATAAGACGAAATTAACCAAAAATACTTTAACATATCATATTAAAATTAAACTATTATTATTAACATTTACATTTTTATTTTTATTTTCCTATAGTATAGTAGTATTATGGTGCATTTATCTACATAATTTATATAAATTTCTTAAAATAATTAGATTCCTAATTAAAATGAACCACGGATAATCGAATTTAACATATTAATAATTAACTAACTAAAAAGTCTTAGCAATCGCCGCTAGATCATGGTTAATTTATAGAATAATAATATTCAAAATAACTATATAGAACTATTACTATCTGTGGTTTGTCCATCGAATAGCATCAAACGCATATTGCATATATTGTTTATATTATACATTTGTACCATTAATTATACGTCATTACAATATTACCTACTTAATACTTATAATAATATTTTTATAATCATTGGTATTATGGATTCGTTCCATTATTATGACTATATTAAATTGTGATTATTGATATTGCTTGCTAACTAAATTGTAATTACGTACACGTTACGTCATAACATAGTAGTTATTGAGGTAATTATAGGCATTTTCGGGTGAAATAGATTATTTTTTATTTTAATTAAATACACAATTAGATTATTGTAAGTATCGAGTTATCACACGTGTGAATAAATAAGAATCGACTGCGTATTAAATTTTTAAATAGTGACGATATGAATAATTAGTAGTATTTATATACATAATTTTAATAGCAAATTTATAAAACACACAACGATACAATTAATATCTAAATGTTTTCTTCTATTCTTATATTAGCTTATATATTATGTATAGTATAGTATTTATGGATTTGCAAACCCTTTCTTTAACTTATTAGGTTTCTATCTGCTCTGTCATAAATATTACCAACGCTGTATGCCTGTATAGGCTTCAAATATTAAACTCTTATAGATAGTTATATTTAAATCGTTAACCATCACGGGTTTTTACTTTTTAAGTACCTAGCTCATTACTTGTTAGTCATTATAATCATTGGTCAAAATACACATACTTATAAATATTCTTAGATATTATTATTACTTTTCTTGTCAGCTGTTACACAACAGATACAAGTATGTAACGTTATAATCGTGTTTAATAATACACAATAATATAATTATAAGGGAAAATAAATCAACAATTTAAATTTAAAACATAAGTTATACAACACTTCAAATGAATTATGTATCTACCTAACATTACAATTCACAGTATTAATATTGCCTCAGTTCTTTTTTACTATTTTTTATATTTATTCAAATTAGTTAGACAAAAATGTATAACTATTATACGTTTATAACACATGCGTATCGATTTACCTTGTACTAATTCATTTAATTTTTATTGATGTAATTAAGGGTTATTTATAGCCCATAAAGTTAAAAATATAAAATGACTATAATAATTTAACTCGGCGAACCGTTACACTTAAAAGCCTTTTAGCCGTAAAATTAATTTTTTTTCTATTAACTATGCAAACAATAAGTAAGTATAATGTATTTTGTAGAAGTCTACTAGATTAAAACATCTACCTAATTGGTCATAATAATTATATATTTACATTTTACATTAATTGACAATTTAAACTCTTCATTAATTAGAAGTGTTATGGTTCAGTAAGATGTAACCATATTGTAATATAGCTGCAGGTACACCTACCAATCTACATGTTATAACTTACACTAATAATAAATACATGAAATAATTAGGTCGGAAAACATAAATATTTTATTAACTTCTAATTTATAATAATATCGTGTAAGTTTGTTAAAAAATATCTATAGTATCTTATACTCACGCCGGAATCACCTCCAGTGCGTCTTCAAACTGTAATACAATAACAATAATACTGGTTAATATTATTGATCTCAGTTAAGTTCATATAAGCGTTAATATATATATATATATAATATATATATATATTAAGTACAATGGATATCATAAACCTAGGTCTATAATTATTATTTATAAAATATTTACTACTAAGTGTGATTTAAGTACATGCTATAATTTTAATATTCTAATCATAACATTTCAACAATTTTTGATCGGATTCGATATCATATAATAGCAAAGATCATATATTTTACCTCGTCCTCGGCATCGCCGCAGTCACCCATCTCGACTGATAAAGTGTGCTGAGGGTGAATACTCTGCGCGGGAAGTTGCAGATAATATTATTATGTTATCATTCGGTGAGAAAAAGTTAAATGTAATTTAATTAAGTATAAGCAAGTTTTATAGTGACGAAATCGCTAAAAATGTGACCAGATTTCTACGACTAACGATAGGAAATCAATATGATGTGCGATATAATATTAAATTCAAACGAAAAGCGATTATTAGACCGGACGACGAAGCAGCACAGGCTTACGCGAGACCCGGCAAACTGCAACTGACGTCTAACATGTAGGTACCAACGCGACGCGACACGAGCAGCTGCTCCGCTCACTGAATGATACGATGCGCGCCGACGCACTGACGTATAAAAATCATTATTATTATTATTACTACTACTAATAATAATATTATGATTATCGCGTCGCACGTTCGTACAAGTGCAACAATAATAGTATAAATATTTATAATAATATTGTGTTGCACGGTCATAAACTTTAATTTTTTTAAGCAAAGCCCCTCCTTTCCACAAACACATACGACATGATCAAATCCCAGTCCAACTCGCGTAAAAAAGAACCGCGACAGCCTTGACCCGGTTCAGCGGTGTGAAAGCAGTACGGCGGCAGATGATGATAAATAATATTGTACAATTATATTATTGTTTTAATATTTGATCAGAAAAAAATAGTAATAAAAATAATGATAGAAAAATCATATATCATTAATCGTACGTAGGCTGGATAGAGGCGCGACATCCATGCCGAGGCAGCATGTTACCACTGCGACCTGGAACGGATTGGATTTTCGAACTGGTTCGGGAAAATAACTTTTAAACTGCCCATTAGCAGTCATGTATTTATGGAAAAATTGATGTCAACTGGGTCAAGTGTACCATACTGAAGGTGGTAATTTTTCTTAGTACATTAAAGGGGCCATAAATATTTATTAGCATTTTATGGTGTGAGTAATTCATTATTCTTACGAAAATTGGCAAATGTTTATATTATAATAAATTAGCGAGGTTTTTGTAGACAAATATATAACACTTAGTTGTTATTAATACAATTATCAATCACCTTTTAAAAAACTATTTCAAATTAAAATTAAAAATAATATTTTAATTTAATATAATCAGTTTTAGATTATAAAACTTAGTCATTACCTACTAATGTTGATTACACTTGTAGGTATAAGATTTATAAAATGTATGTGACTATGTTTATACTAATATTTACTTATATAACTTTAATAAGAACAAAAACAATCTTTACCTACTTTATCTAAAGTAGATGTTCTAACTTCGACATCTGTTTTTCATCCTCATTAACAATATCATTACTCTAAAAATAAATTTAATAACTTATACTTATCATATTATCTATAATTTTTAAAAACATCAGAATAAAATAAACAATTCTAAACAATTAATTCAACTATTATAATTATCACAAAATTTCATGATGTAGGTATATTTTTTTATGAAAAATTGCATTATTTTTCAAAATATGTTATTTCTCTCATTATCTGTTAATAAAATAAATAGTATATTGTATATTAAATTAACGATTACCATTATTTTATTATTTTGTTCTATATAAAATGTTTACTAAAATACTATAGAAATTTACTTTGAAATTATTAAATATAAATTTATTATTGTGATTATTATTATGAAACAGCTCAGATATAACTCGCTTTGTTGTCTCGAGACTCGAAAAATTAATAAATGTTTTTAGAAGCAACGGCTTCTAAAAGAAATTTTTTTTGTTTTAGTCACGAATTTTTTCCACTCTACCTTTTCGTTTTTTATTACAGTCATTATCATTGATTTACATTTTATTTTATAATTCTTAATTACTACAGTAACTTTAAAAAAAATAAACCTAGTAAACCTAATAAACCTAGTAAATAAATTGTAAAATGATAAATACAAATGCATATAAATAATTACCTATTAATTAGGTATTAATTTTCAAAACCAAATGACAAAATATATAGTACTGACTGCTGAGTGTTAACTGTTGAGTGCTGAGTTACGAAGTTTTGAATGACGATAGAGTCGATAGACGAATCACGATTGATAATATTTAGTTGGTAATTGGTAAAACAATATATTAATATTATTAATGCTTATTAAAATATTATAAAGAATCTAAATTTAAAATAAAAATATTTTTATTGTTAAAACTTCAACAGACTTGCATAGTTACATTGTTGAAATTCGTCGTCGTCATCCGCGTCCACCGACGACAACTCGAATTACCAATTATTTATAGATTTTACTGTCCATGAAGTAATGGAGGTTTTTTTCTATTAGATTTATATCATTAATTATTAGGTACTAATAACTTATTACTAATTATTCAATTTCTATTAAAGTTATACTGTTATAGACGTTACAGTAATATTTATTATTCATACAAGATATTGGCCTATTATTTTTAGTTTGCTGTTTAGAAAATTGCAATTCTTGTCACGAGAACGAGATACCAATAAAATAAAAAAATCTATTATTTAATTAATTTTGTTAGTTTGCAACAGGCTAGTAGGCTACATCCATGAATTTCAGTAGCGCACGCAATGGCTCCGTCAACTAGTTAGCACGAGGCTTATCGGAAATTTCCCGATTTCCCGATAGCCCATTCCGTCCATGAGTCTTTGACGACATTGGGCGTGTTCTTCAACCTACCAATCACCGCGGCAATGATGATAATTTCATATTTCGTTACCACATGCAAAAATGTTAAAGTTTCAGTGACATATGTCACATTTTTTAAGGAATCAAGAAAAAAATAGTTCTCACAATTTATAATATAATATTTTTAAATAAATACGTTAAAAATACTTAAAATGTTGAAAATTAATTTTTTGTCACAGTACTGTAAATATAGCTTAGTAAATAATAATAGTTAGAATGTGTTTTGTAGTGTATACTATGTAAACTTATTAGTTGAAGTTATGATAAATTAGCTTATAAAGCTTCAAATGCCTCAATTCAGGAACTAAAATGCATTGAAGTTTGAATTCTTTAGTTTTTTGTTATTAACTCGATTAAGTAACTCTTATTCTACAAATAACATTATTTATTTTTTTAGTAGTTTGTTTATTTTCAATTGTGGTCCATATATTAATATGTTGTGGAGTGTTACACATTTTGTTAAAAATATAAAATTCCGTTGGAATTTACAAAAAAAAATAATTGATTTTTCCAGGTGCTGCTTTCTAAGGTACGTCCCAGTTTGACTGGGACTGTACTATATTTTAATTTTAAATATATACTCGTAGCATCCTGTTGTCCTGATAAAGATTTTTTGAACGACCAATAAGTAATAACTGTCTTAGAATTAAAATTCAATAATTTATGAAAACATTTTATCTTTTATTTTACATTTCTATTAAAAAAACAATATTATTATAATAATTCATAAAATAATTAAATTAACTATTTGATTAATTAACAAAATCTATTTTCTCGTGACTTGGCGACAATTTCTGATGAAGACGTTCATTATTTTCCTATTTTCCAACGATAATTTTTTTTTTTTTTTGTATCACTACAGCTAATTGATAATTTTGTTGATTTCACTTTCCAATTTGTAACATTGAGTTATAGCTTTTGCCTTACAAATGTATTTCGTAGAATGCTGGCCATTATGAGTGGTATTCCACGTAGTTATACGAAATAATAGTGAATTAAAACTGTAGTTGGTTGTTTATGGTGAACTTGAAAGGACTGGTACAATTTTTTTCTTGAAAATTATATAAAAAATGTTTGTCTAGGTATAAGTAAAATAAAATATGTCTACTCTAGATATACTATCTATATAACATACCCAACAATAACATCCATGCGTAAGCTATGAGGATAAAACAACATTTAGCCTATATTCTTATCCGAGCCAGATTGTTATGCTATAAGGCTTATAACTATAAAAATAATATAATTAGGTACATAATGTCTATCTCATGATTGTACATAATACGCCATACATATTATACAATTGAAATGTTTATTTTTCAGAATCAATATTGGGCATTTGTACATTAATGATTATTATTATTTATTATTAAGACGTCAATAATATTACTGCCGACGAATATTTTTGCAGTATGATGAAAATACCCATTTATAAGCAAATATTATTTTGGAACATAGAAAATTATTTGAAATAAAACAAAGTTAATATAAATATACCACTAATACTTAATTTAATATAGTAGTAATTAATTATCAATTTCACTATTACAATTGTCATTATAATATCTGGTGTTCGTATCCTGTGTTTTATATAATTTAAATAGATTTTTGGACTAGTGTACTTTTACTTATATGGGGACGATTTAATATCCATACATGTTACAAGTTTAAACTATAGTCACGATATAACAGGCGCCATCTATAAATAGTGGCATAGTTACTACTTTAATGATGCTCATTTTTGCTTACATATAATTCATTGTTATTCGTTGGATATTCATTGATTGGAAGAGAGGTTGGAAGTTAAAGATAGTCAATGGCTTAATAGATATCGATATCTAGATTATCGAGCTAAATTTATTCATTAAGGTCTGCACTTATATTTGTTATTAAATTCGTCGTCATGGCACCAAGCACGGAATAAAAAATTTCGATTACGGACCCACTATAAATTTGTTCCAATTTTGATTCCAAATATCAGAATAAAGAACTTATTTAATAATTAATTGAGTAATTAAGTATTTATTTTTTTCATTATAATAAATTGTAGTATTGATTTATAGATGGAAATTTAAAAATATTAATAACCTAATTAATACATAAGTTAAAAATAGCTGAATATGATAATTCAAAATATTTTTTAATATAAGTTGATAATAATGGAAAAACATAAAACTATAATTTTATGTCAAAGTTCAAAGAAATGTATAGGTTTCTAAGTACCTATATACTTGAAATATACTTTAAGAACATATCTAAATAGTTATTTTTTTCAATTCCAAAATGTTTAATAACATTATTCAACATTTTTATTATTTTTTTAAATTACTTAAAATATTTAAATAAATCAAGCAACTCACGCTGATGTGTAATAATTTGTAATAGGATATGTTAAATTTGAATTAAATTTCTATGAGAATACTTACTATTAGATTGAACAAATTTTTGGCAAAATTAAATCACTAATACATTTTAATATTATACTATATTATGTATCATAATCATTGTAATATTATTTATTAACACATTTTCATATAATATGACTAGCTTTTATTAATTTTTAAGTCAACATCAACATAGAGATAGAGCAATAATAGACAGGTGTCTACTATATATAGG